GCATATTGAATACATATATGTGTACTTACATATGCATTTCTGCATATATAGATACATGCCTATTTATGTCTACAGAGATGGGCAAAAGTAGGTTTACAGTTGTGAGTACACAAAAGTTTATTGTTGTATTATTATTTATTTTTGTATTATATACTTTTCCTGACAAATTAAACTACTCTTGTCCACCCCTACATATGGAATATCTACTTTGCGCCTACTATGTGCCCAGGACTGTTCTAACTCTGCCAATATAGCCAAGACAAAGACTGTGCCCTTACCGTCCACCAGAGGAGACAGACAAGTAACACATAAATAAAGAATACCATTAACAATTGACTGTTAATGACGTAGAAGGAAAAGGAAGGGAAAAATGGGGTGTTGTGATGGCTAGTAAAGCCCACATTTCTCAAGGAGCATAACATTCAGAAGCTCCCAATGAAAAGTCTGCTTTTATTTCCCCTTTGAACCAAGTTGGCAGGAGTTCAGAATTCCTGAGTCAGAGTAGCTCAGAACTGCCTGGGTTCAAGTCCAGGCTCTACTATCTGGCTGTTGTGAACATGGGCAAGTTACCTTCCTGCTCCAAGTTTCCTTCTCTGTAAAGCAGAGAATAGTACATATGCCACAGAATCGGTCTAGGATAAGACGAGCTAATATGCAAAAGCATTTAACAAAGTTTCTGGCCACAGCCTGCACAATGTGCTGACTACCTATGGCTGCTGGAGGCAGAACCAAACACTATGTGTGAAAAGCCACCGAAAGCCCTTTGGGTGTGGTTTTCAGATGAAGAGGACTCTTCCCATACACTCTTTTAAAAACTAAGGGGAGATACAGGGAATAAAAGAGATCATAGGGGGTTTCTGGCTTCCTCCAACTTCATGCCAGAGCTTTCCATTTCCTGCCTGGTGCCTTACTCATTCCTGTTCCTCTCTGGAAATTAGGAAACATGTTATATGTATCTAGGTTTTAGGATAATTCCTGGATTATCCTAAAACAGAGGAAACATAACATGATACACAAACATATATCTAGTTTGGGCTGAAGGTAGGTAGGGACCAGGGTAATGATGAGTGAGCGGCAAGGCCGAAGGAGTTGGTCAGGGAGGCTCTGCCTGTTCGCCACGTGAGAACCCAGCCACGGTACATTCACTGCCACTTCGTTAATAAGCTTCATCTGCTGTAGCAAGGATAAAGAACTCGCCATCACTTCATTTCCTTTTATTTGAGTGCTGTCAAAGCTCAACAATGTGACTGAATAGCTTCACTTCATAAGCTTCCCTGGTTC